CTACATTTGCCCTGTTCAACTCCCAGTGAAGGAATAAGTGTCTTAGCTTATACTGAAAAAAAAAACAAAAAACCCAATTAGTGAAGCTAAAGATAAACTGAAGAGTTCTCTTAAGACTCGTAGGAAAATAATTAATAATTGAAAATAATGAGAGAAAAAAGTTAAGAAGTAAGGAGCCCAGCCCTGGCCGGGTGGCTCAGTTGGTTGGAGTGTGGTCCCATACACATAAAAAGGTTGCAAGTTTGATTCCTGGGGAAAATACCTGGGTTGCAGGTTCCATCCCGGGTGGGATGCATATAGGAGGCAACCGACTGATGTTTCTCTCTCACATCGATGTTTCTCTCTCTGTGTTTCTCTCTCTTCCTCCCTCTCTAAAACAAAACAAAACAAAACAAAACATATCCTTGGGTGAGAGTTTAAAAAAAGAAAGAAAGAAAGAAGGAGTCCAAAGGGTGTAGTCTATGCAAAGTAGAAACTGCAGAGCAGGAACTGGGGCCAAGAGAAAGAAGCACAAATAAAAGCAACAGAAGACAACACTTTTGAGCTAAAGAAATATCCGGGTTTGAAGCCGTAAAAAGACTTACCGAAAATAAATGAAACGCGGGTCTAGGTAGGTCCAGGCAAAATTCTGGAATATAAAAGGGAAACCAAACTTTCTGCACAAATTGAGGCTTTTAAAAGAAAGCAAATATGCATTCGGGAGAACACAAGTCAAGTTATTCTCCCCGAAGCTAAGTGCCCATCCTCAGTGTTTATAGAACTTGGAAGAGGGATGAAAAGGAAGAATTGAAGGGTACTGAAGACATAGCATATACGTTTTAAAATTGAGCAATGAAATCATCCTTTTAAAACATGTTGCAAATGTAAAAATACAGTTCTCAAACGAGAAGACATATATATTGTAAACCACAATGGTACTAATTCAGGTTTTCATTCCAAAATAACATAAGCCAACCCAGGAAATAGCAGAGGTTAGTGAGAGTCAGTATAAACTCACTACATATTTGTTTTACTTTACACAGGGGAAGTCAGTTATAATTGTTTTGTTCTTGATACTAGCATAGATGATATATATTAAAAAACCTAACCATTAGTAGGAATTTCTTCTCTCCCTTTTTTAAAATTTCTACTTTCCCTTCTTTTGTAAGACAGGCATATCCCATATATGTCTTCTGTTTTAGTTATCTGGTACTGCTTAACAAGCCACCCTAAATCTCAGTGGCTTCCAACAGCGACCATTATTTGTTTTGTTCCCGAATTTGCATTAGGCGAGGCTCAGTGGGG